TCTTGCCACCTGTTGGCAGCTCAGCGGCTGCTCAGCTCGGGCCGGGACTCGAACCGCTGTTGCTCAGAGCTCAAACTCTTGAGCGAGCTCTTAACCAACTGAGCCATTCGACCGGCCCTTCTTTTTAATTTTTTAAACAAGGTTTCCTTTAGTTCATTGAACATATTGCTCGGAAGTCTTTAGTGAGTCTAATACCTGAATCACATCAGAGACGGTTTCTAATGACTGCTTTTTTCCCTCTGAGAACGAGCCATACTTTCCTGTGGGTATTTTTTTTGAGGGGGGAACTGGGGATGGATGGGAGGGTAATGTACCATAATTTTTTAACTGAAACTTTGGATAATATAATTTACAGAATTCTAAAGCTTTTTGACAGGTTTGTCCAGTTTTATTATTGTTTTTGTAGGGAGACCATTTGTGAGGCTCTTACTCCACTGTTCTGGAAATCCAGTTCTTCATCTTCAGTGTTTTCTTAAATCTGTATCTTCCCTTCTATACCCATTCCTACACTTTACTTTAAGCTTTTAACATCACTTGTCCAAAACCTGCAACAACCTTCTAACTATTATTTCTGTCTTCGGTCTCTGAGTCTTTTGACTCCTCAAACTATCATTGCTATTTCTGCCAGGGTAATATTTTTAAAATCCATATAATATGTATTTTTCCTACTCCTGCTCCAGCAACCCCTGTGAATCCTTATTGCCATTTAATCAATACAAATTCCTTAATACTTCACTCAAGACTTTCTTTCCATTATTTTGGTCTTAGTCTAGCTTTCTAATGTTAGGTTTTATGTCCCTTCTCCCCATGCATTCTGCGCTTTAATACCACTAAACTATTTTCAGCTCTTTAAATACCACCTTCATATTTCTGAGTTTACATCTTTGTGTCATTTCTCCAGCTTGGAAAGTTTAGCCCTACCCACAAGAATACTCCCATTTCTTTGCAATTGAATACTTACATGCAGATCAGGGCCTCTTCTGATGCTCTAACTATTCCGAATCGTCACTCAAAATTTCCTCCTTCTACTATACTCTCATAGTACTTACTTAATATTTTAGCATAGCATTTGAAGGTGAGCCTTGTAGTTTATTTAGTATGAATTAGATTAAGGGCAAGGACTATGTCTTATTTTTTTATATATATATCATTAGCACCCAAATAATGTCTGGGACACAGTAGATGATCAATCACTGTTTATTACATTGACTAAGTGCTGGGACAAGGTTAAGAGAGTTGCAGCTGTGGTACATCTAGGTCATTCTGCTGTGGTCTTAACTGAAGACATGAAACTAGACTCTATAACCCTGCATATGTCCCCTAGAATTTAATGGTCTTGTGAATATATGATTTAGAAAAGACTTCTGTGATACTTAATACTCCAGTAAACTGGAAAATAGGTATTTCTGTAGACATAGTGGAAAGTGATGAGTAGTACAAACTGAAACAGCAGAAGAAATAAATGATTGAAACTCGGGGATTAATTTCAGTTCCTTGAAGGGGTAGAAGGTTGATTTAGAGTATTTAGAAGAGACAGAGGACTTATCACTGCCAATGAATGTTAAAAGTAACTAAAAACATACTTCTGGGAGCTTTGTATATGCAAATATTCTGCCAGTGACCTTGACTACCAAGTTTGTGTGTGTTAATATATCTCTACCCTCTATAAGAGTATTTTCCATATCGCTGGTTTTTAATACATAATTACTGAAGACAAAAAAAAAAAGGAATTACTGAATGACTGGCATGGCTTACAAGAAAATTATAGTCAAGAAGGTAGAAAACATACCTAAAAAACAAGAAACACTAAAAAGAATGGTACATGGTAAGTGCTTAGTGTTGTATTTTAGGGATTTCATGTTTCAGAGGAGAGGGAAGTCACTGCAGACATACATTTGGAGAACTTTTTATGTAGAGGTAGCACTTGTGCTAAGGTAAGGGGAAAGAAAGGTGAGTGAACGCTCCTGAAAGAAGGGGCTACAGGGTCTTTGCCTAGCATGGAACCTTATCAGAGGCTGACTCTAGGATTGATTACAAGGAGGGGAAACACAAAGAAAGGAAGTTACTTACTGCTAATTAGGAGGCTACTACAGAAGTACAGCATCCAGAAAAGCGCAACTAGGCAAGGGTACATGTACAAAGGTTTTTATTGTGGGACTATTGCTAGCAATGAAAAATTAAAGATACTGTAAATGTCCATAAAAAGATATAGTTAAATAAATCATGCTACATCCATACTATGAAAGGAGATAGACTCACACATACTGACATGAAAGGGTGTGCATGATAGTTTGTTATGAAGAAAAAGTTATTGTACAATATACATCACATGGAGCCAATCTGAGAAACTAAATAATGATTTAAAATACAAAGTATGCCTGTGTACACACGTATGTAGGATATATGGAAAAGAGTCTGGAAATCTACACACAGAAAAATAAGTTCAGCATTACATATCTTGAGATTAAAGAGAGCTTATTCCAGGAGATGTTGCTGTAGCCAGATCCTGTGTCTTACCTGGGTCGTATCGAAGGCTTCCTTGTCCCAGTCCTTTTAGAAGACATTTTCCTAAGAAGGGATGACTCTATCCTTGGTTCCCTGACAATTTTCACTGTAAAATCTAATGAAAAAAAACAACAACCACACAGTCGGGCAACACCATGTTGTAAAGCACATTACAGAGAATAAGAAGGAACAAAGTATCAAGGACACTTATTAGACACTGAGGGCATGTGGAAAAACCACAGTCCCTACAACTGCTGTCATCTCAGGCCTGTAGTGCTAAGAAGAGGCTTAGGGATGATTTTCACCCCTGACACTAATATCAGTCCAAGCTGTGTTATTCACGTCTGTTGGCAGTTAGGCCTAGAGCCTACCTCCCTAAGAAGACTGCTGAAAGCAAGTCCATCATATTTCTCCCTGTCATTTCAACACCGAATGTCATTCCTCGCGCAATCAGCCATTTTTACTGGACCATACTCCACATGACTGTCAGTCTTCCTGGACACCTCTGCTATCCCATCCTAAACCCTCTCACTTGCCCTCTGGAGCTCCTGTTTTGTAATCAGCTAACCCTCACAGATTCCTGACCTTTTTGTTAAGAGTTCCCTCCACCTTCTCGCTTTAATGAAAACCATTCTCTTTCCTGAGGACACTGACGCCACTGCAGGTTTCTCAAGTGGTGTTCTATCTCACCATACACAATTTAGAGTGGGTCTCTGGCTCCCTATTGCCACTCAGAACCCATTATTCCAAAAAAATATATTAAAACATTACTGCCGAAGAATGATAAATTCTTTCATTTGTACCTACAATATTCACAGATAAAGCAGGAATAACATGGTATTTNAACTCTTGAGTGAGCTCTTAACCAACTGAGCCACTCGGCCAGCCCAGGAGAAACTTTCTTAAATCCCCACTGTAACAGTTTCTATGAGACTCAGGTGCCTCCTTTGTTCAATGGGGCTTTAAAACCCTACCCCAAAGGGTAGTTGTTTTGGTGACTGAATAAGCTAACAGCGTAACTCTTCTGTAAGGTCTGCAATAATGCCCAAGCAGTGGTTTCCTTGTCCCCACTGACCTGGGATTCCTGCAGGTACGTTGCTGCCGCCTTTGACGGCTTCCTGGGCAAAGCTTGTGCTTCAGGCTGCGCCTCCTGAGGATAAACTGGGAACAGCTCTTGGTAATCTTTAAACCTGCCGGAAGGCGACCAAGAGTATCAAAGAAGGCAAAAGCCTGACACCTAAAAAGGCATAGTCATGGCAATCCTATCTCAGCACTTGGAGGAAGTTGAAGTGGAAATTTGGGGAAGGTGAGATACTCAAAAACACCCTGCTTACCATGTCAATCCTCTGCTAACGTCAGCCTATCATCCTTCCTGATCAATATCGGATTGTTCCTCATTCAGGCACATGAACAAAAGTGTGTGTGTGCACGCGCACGTGCCCACGTGCAGATAGGTAGGTAGGTAGATAGACAGGTAAGAGTGTTCAATAGAAGTGGCTTTTCTTTTGTAGGGAGACTCTGGCAATGAACTTTGAATGGATTGTGAGCCTCCTGGAGTAATGTGGCTTTCAGGGTCCAATGCGCCACTCCGGGAAGGCCCACTGCCTCCTCCAGGCAATACTCACCACCTTCCCGTCAAAGATTTCATGACACAGCCCTGGAGCACCATCAGGGAGGGCATGCTGACATGAGGCATCTGACAGATTTCTTTGATGATAGGCGCATGGCACTGCAGCATTTCTTCTAAGAAACGTGAGAGAGAGAGAAAAAGCCATCATCTCCTTGTTGACCATTTCTGAGGCAGCTGGTGGTTTTTGGATTTTGGGTTGTTGGTTTTTTTTTTTTTCATTTTGGAGTTTTACAGTCCCTTAGTCTCAATATGGCAACTTAGAGCTTGCCGCACTTCGTTTGCAAATCTCAGAAGCATCTTTGGCATGTTATGTGTGAATTTATTTATAGAGCAAATACTGTCCTGGTGTACTTCCACTGAAATTTCAAGGACAAGTGTGTCCAGGAGAAGAAATGTTTAAGAGACTCATTTCTGCAGCGAGTCTGAAGTTTTGGGTTTAGGAAGAGAGCAAGAGAACAAAAGATTAAAGGCAAATTACCGGGGGTGGGGGGATGGAGGGGTGGGGAGGAGATGAGGAATCCAAGATTACAAATGAGTGTTGTAAAGACGTGACTCTCCAGGTGTTCAAAGACCATTGTTTTCATTGATAGGACGTGAAAACTTATCCAGGTTCAATATCTGCGAACTCTTTTTTCTCTTCTAGCTCATTCAAAACAATGTACACAACGTGATATGCTGAGACTTAACAAATCAGTATTGCTTGCAAATAAAGATTTGCCAATTTCACCTTTTTTTCTATTTTTTATAAAATCTATAACCTTTTCTTGGTTTACCACACGCCCAAAACAAGCCCCTCTGTTCATCTGGGCCAAAATAGGAGGTTTTATCTTCATGGCTTTGCCACAGATGTGTTTACCTCCAGGATGGGATCGCCCTCACCCCCTTTTGTTTTCCTCTAGACTTATAGGTAAGTGCGTTCCTTGCACCATCTGCTTCTGGCCAAGATAAATTTACATGGGTCAGATTTACCCTCCTGCCTTAGGCAAGGAAACAGGACAAAATTCATGAGGATTTCCAGGGAGACAGTTCTTCCTGGTACAGCTCTCTTTACATCCTCCGGGTGACGGACACTCCAATTTTGTACACAGCTAGCTCTTGATGTTGGCCTAACTCCAGTCTAGTTGATTTGAAAGTCAAATGACCTGACTTTGAATTCAACTTCCACCCATTGAATAAGTTAGTTAGCCTCTGTTTCACCTTCCTCATTAGTAAAATAAAGTTATTTATCCGTACCTTACAGAGATTAAGTAAAATCCTATTTTCAGGGTTGAGTAAAGCTAAAAGAGAGGATATATGAGTGTATTTCACATACAAGTGCAAGTGTCTTGCACTTGGCTTCCTTTACTAGTACTCTACCTCGGATTTATTATTGTTCTCTGATTTCATTGCTCCCTTCATCTTTGTCTCAATACTGCCCCATGTGGCCGTTGCTCTGTTCTGCTCTCTCAGGGGGCTCACATTAAGACAGGCTCTTTTCCAGACTCTTCTAAGATACTACAGGGAGAAGCAAACGGTATTAGGAGGAGAGAATGCATACCAGGGGAGACTTTGCCATGGAAGAAAGTCTTGACTGTATTTTCCAGGAGAGCATTGTAATTATTTTCATTTGTCTCAATATTAATCTTCTGTAAGGCTAGCAGGAATTGCAATGGGCTGTCAGCCTTCCGTTCTTTGAGGAACTCCTTGAAGAACTCCAAGTGGTGAGGATTTTGGAGGACTTCTGCCAAGTTTCTGGAAAACAAGGCAGCACCATTGGTGGAGAGAATGGGATGGTGACCATGGATTCTGCTCCTCCTGGGGCATGGGGAAGGGATTCTCCCAGGNCAGCAGCTCAGCTCGGGCTGGGACTTGAACCGTTGTTGCTCAGAGCTCACACTCTTGAGCGAGCTCTTAACCAACTGAGCCACTCAGCCGGCCCTAGAGTGTGTGCTCTTAACAACAAGGTTGCTGGTTCGATTTCCATATGGAATGGTGGGCTGAAAATAAGACCTAGCCAGAGAATAAGCCATAGCATGATTCCTCCAGGATATGGAGGGCCCGCACCCCTCACATGGGGGTTTTATGACCTGTTTCAGGGAGAAGGGTGCCTTTTCCACAAACTCCTTCAGCTTAAAATATTCAGTATGCCAAGGTGCCATATTTTGGCACCTAAAATCATGCTACGGCTTATTTTCTGGGTAGGTCTTATTTTTGGGGAAACGGGGTAGATTGAATACAACGACTTGACTTGGAGCTGATGCATCCTGGAAAAACACGCTGTTCTCCAATAAAGTTACAAAAAATAGCAACAGGTAAGGGAGTAAATAGAGAAGTGACTCACTTTCCTTGTTATTGTGTACTTCCAAGTGAAGATATTCTTCAAATTCCTGGCGCTTACTGACATTAGACATGAATCTGCGGTACTTGCAAAAGCTCTTGAAAGAGCTGATGATTTTCAGCCAGCCTCTTTTCTGGGGAAAGAGGGAGGGGTATGACATATTCATTAGTATAGCTGCTGTCCACCGAGAGTCCACTATGTGCCCCAAACCTGACATTCATTACATTCAATCCTCACAACACCTCCTTTATAAGGAATACTTTTTAGCACCAATTTAAAGGGGGAGGAAAGCTCAGGTCAGACAACTTATATAACCTTCCCCAGATTAAGCAGTTGGTGGGTGGAAGATTCCGGCTTCAACCAGGCGTGTCTGGGGCCATTGGCAATGCTCTTGGTACCACGGTCTTTCAACAGTGAAGATTTGAGATGCCGTGATTGGGAGGGGAAATGTGAAAGCTAAAAACAGGAAGAAACAGAGGGCAGAGATAAGCGTGACTCCCAAGAAAATAATGGCTCAGGCAGATTTTGAAATGTTGAAGAAATAAGGAAATGAGTAAAACCATTTCCAAGCATTAAAAAAAGGAACATAATCATATGCACACAGTCATACACCACACATGTGCACACATACACAAATGCATTTTATAAGAGTCTTTATCCATTTCTGCATAGATATCCAGTTGACCATTCTCCAGTTCATTGACCCCTTGAGAAACTGATACTGCGAACCAGACAAAAAGCTTGTTGATCAACTAGTTTAGTTGTCTCATTCTACAGAGAGGGAATTTCAATGTAAGCATGGCTTTAGCGAGTCAGTGGTGAAGCACAAACCCCACTGGATTTAGGATCACAAACTTTGAGTCTGTAGTTTTTAGTGAGTGCTATAAGATACAAGATTCATTTGAAAGTATGCAGAATTTTCATTCCTCCCAAAGTGGCAAAAATGAGCTACAGTGGCATAATTGTGATTTACCTAGATAAGTTTACATTGTCACACCTTAATGTCAACACATACAGCATTTTTTTGTGTGAAAATGTAGCTGATGAGGCCTCTCATCTTCTGTAATTTTGAATACTGCTCTAACAACAAACTCATATAATATGAAACTAGTTAGATTTTGCAAGAAGAGCTCTTACAACAGAACTCACAGGCTTTCCTCCATTTCCTTTGGCAATTTAGGATCTGGAGTCATTAATAATTTGGGTTTTTTTTTTTTAAATCCAGAAGGTATATAGAAACCTTTTCAGATTTTTCATCTGATTGGTTCATGCAGGTGTTGTCCTATCAAAATACCTTATTTTACCTCAAGGTATTTGTTGCACGGGCAGACACTGCCGTATTTAGAAATTTGATTTCAGTTCATTAAAAACTGCAAAACCAATCTGTATTATGTATCAATGATTTAAAATAAATCTACATGTATTGAGGAAAAAAAGAAACATTGAGTCTGAAGCCTAGCTTCACCTTAATGTGCAATTTGGTCAATTTACTTAACCTGTGTCTCAATGTCTCCATGGGTAAGATAGAAAAAAATAGCCTTTGGGCTGTGGTGAGGGTTAGCGATGGTATATGAAAACGCTCAAGCAGTGCTTGTCACAAAGTAGGTATTATGTACATGTTGGAGTCTTTTTATCTTTTCTTATCTAAGAACAAGAGGGAAGACCTGAGGGGCCGGCCGAGTGGCGCGATGGTTAGGAACTTGCTTGGGATGCCAGAGGGCCCCGGTTCGGATCCCACATATGAGGGCCAGTGACACTGCCCTCCACAGCTA